TGTAACAGGTTATGTTATACAATGTGTTATAGTTCGCCTCTTGCAAAGCAATCTTGTAAGATTTATCATTGAAAATAAGTTAATACAAACGAACTTCAATATTATCAATACTATAATATTATAAAGAGGAAAGATTTGATTATTTGTTTGTTTGTATTGAACAGTCTCCGAAACTACTGGACAGATTTGAAAAGTTCTTTCACGTTTAGAATGCTACATTATCCTGATAAACATAGATAGGCTATAGAGTATTCTCAAAAAAGTTAGGGTTCCGTATTTCATACGGACTTCGGTAGCGTAACCCAGGGTGTGAAAAAAAACAAAAAATAACCTTATATCGCTTACGCTGCGGAATTCATTGACAGTAGAGCAAAGTGATGTACTAAAGTTTTATACAAGACATCAATATCTAAAAAAAGTCCGGGAAACCACATGTTTAATTATTGCAGTTATACCACAACTAAAGGTCCCCCCTTTTTTTAACGCAGGCAAAACCTCTATTTACAGACCACGGCGCTTTTAAGAGGCCTCCCGTCCTCGCCGGGGCTCCACGGCAGGTCTCCCGAGATATTTCGGGGACCCCGCAGACGTGCGCAGGATACCCACCGTACCGCTCTCCGTCCGCTGCCGAGGGCTACTTGGGCGTATTCGTGTATCCCCCCCCTCCCTTTGTAGGACAGGACTACAAGTGGGGGGGGGGGGGGCGTTCCCGGGGGAGCTGGTAGGGGAGCGTAATTCTCCCCGTCCCTTTCCCCTCAAAGTCGATGCAGGGGTAGGCACCCTCTCTACCGGCAACTAAAGGTCCCCTGCGGTTTCACCCGCGTTTATTTGAGTAAAAAGGTTATAGTGAGCCAAACTTAAAAGATGGCATATGCTGTCGCGGACTTTTTTATAGACCTTATAAAGCGGAAAAATTTCGCAAGAAATGATTTTTAAGGAAATTTAATCATTTAGGCAGTGCACGCAAAAGAAGCTGACAAATGGAATATTTTGACCCGTTTTTGCAATATTTTACATAGATGATCCGCTCTTACTGGTCACAGCGTGATGTTATATAGCCTTAAGCCTTTCTCAATAAATGCACTATCTAAGACAAAACTGCATTTTTTTTTTAAATCGGTCCATCAGTCCCTGAGATTTCTGCGTTCAACCAAAAAAAAATGTGCATTCGGTATAACGGGTCCTAAAGTACCGAGTAACTGGGGCTTATTTTGACCTACAATGTGCACTTTTTTTTCAAATACAATTGTAGCTTCTCTTTGTAATGAATATGTAACGTTTATATCTTTCCATTGTGAACTTTAAAGTATAAGTTACAAAGTTATCATACGAAAATAGGAAAAAATAATATTTAAGGGTTAATATATATTTTTTTAATTTTGGGCCAAAGTTGGCCTTAAAGAGGGTTACTTTACCTCGTTGAGTTTTCTCTGTGAAAAAAAACTCATTTTAAGCCATGTTGGAGTTAAGTAACCCTGATAACAGATACCATTAGCATACTGAATACACAAATGGATGTTTTTGCCCAAAAATAATTAAGTTAAATAAAAAATATAACTTTGAATTTAGAACCACAGTTTTGAGAAAGTTTGCGCATGAACTTGCGAACTATTTCAGTTACAAAAATCCCGCGTTACAATAACAACTTGATACAGGAACGATGTCGGTAAAACAACACCACACTACGCGCATATATGGCTATCTGTGATTTTCAACTGGAACTATTACGGTCACTCAAGAGATACTGATGGGGCGGCAAGTTCAATATTTTTTCTAATTTGGGACAAAGTTACCCGCCCGAGCTAAAGTAACCCTCACTTACGGTACGCAACAAAATTTTCACTAACAGATAAATAAACTTTCATGGAAGGTTTATAAATATGTAGAGAAATGCAATTATAACACAAGCCCGAGAACAAAAACTATAGTCTACCTACACTACAGTTCTACACGAAGCGAAGCGAGGGCGGACCGCTAGTTTAAGATGTGACAGCAGAAAACTCATCTGTAGATTTTTCTGTTTACCTTATTACCGCGTGATTCCTACTATTGTTTAACAATACCTTGGTGCGTGCAAGCATTTATTCTCTGACCAATAAAATCAAGGACTCTGAAATTGTTATTAGAATTATTTAGAAGTATTATTAAGCCTGTTAGATTAACATTTTCAAAAGCTAAAGGCAAAAAAAGACCGCTACAGCATATGCCTATCTTTTAAGTTTGGCTCACCATAACCTTTTTCCTCAAATTAACGCAGGTGAAACCGCAGGGCACCTTTAGTTGTGACATAACTGTAATAATTAGACATAATTATAATAATAGAATATTGATGTCCTCTATAAATTTTTAGTACTTCACTTTACTCTACTGTCAATGACTTTCGCAGCGTAAGCGATATAAGGTTATTTTTTCTCACCCTGGGTTACGTTTTCGAAGTTTTCAAAGGGAACCCTAAATTATTTGATAATATAGGATTCTAAACGTGAAATAATTTTTCAAATCGGTCCATTAGTTTCGAATCTATTCATCACCATCATCATCATCATCAGCCTATTAATGTCCCCACTGCTGGGGCACAGGCCTTCTCTATGGATGGAATAGGGAGATTGGGCCATGACCCACCACGCGGGCCCAGTGCGGATTGGTGGGTGCTAACGACTGCAGATGCAACCGGGACCAACGGCTTAACGTGCCTTCCGAAGCACGGAGTCTATTCAATACAAACAAACAATCAAAACTTTCCTCTTTATAATATTGGTAAAGACAATGGCTGTTTGACTTTTTCTATTACATAATATCTATTGAAAATAGACTTGAAATGAAGTAAAAAAAAAACCTTTACTTTTTTTAAGACTTGAAGTACAAAATATTATTTGTAAGGACACTATCGTACAAAAAAAATATGAACTTTATTAATATATATTCAATATTTATACAATTTAGGGAAGTAAATCTACAATACTTAGGTATATAGCCATCAGAGATATATACCAAATTAATATATATACAAAGAAATCACTTTTTGGTTCATCGAATAATTACTCTACTAGTCTGTTCTTACTACAATTTCTCCGAAATATAAATAACAAAGTCAACGACAGCACAAGGTTACCCGGAAGATAGTATGTATTGTGATTGAGATATACAGACTTATTAAGAACTCGTTTAAATGGCTGAATACTTTCGATTTAAGGTCAGAGATATGAGAAAAAATTCACGAAGTTTTCCGGGTGAACGCAAAATGTCGATAATGATAAGCACGTGTCAATTTCATTCAATAATGTGAGTGACATTTTAAAAGATTTTATTTATACAACAAATTCTTTTAATGGAGGCAAAGAAATATGTTCATATTTGTAAAATAAAAATATATGTAGGTAGGTATATTTTATAGAAAAATATGTGAAAAACGAGATTTTAAAAGCGGATCAATTATTTTTTTGCCTCCGTCCACTCCAAAGCTCCCGTAGCGTGTCTCCCAAGCGATTTCCAAACTTTATTTGCCTCTTTACTTCTATATTTAAGGGATTCAAATTTCATAAAATATGACAGCAATCTTTCGTATCAACTGGTAATAATATTGCAGCTAATTAAAAAAGTCTACCCCACCAAAAAAGCAAAAAGCATAAACATATTTTAAACTCTCACCCACGCCGTTTTTAGTTTCGCAAATAAATCTGCTCCAATTTAACTAACTCCATACGTACCAAGCGTTTTTCCTCAATGACATCCCACACAATATATCGATCATTCATGTTAGCCTATTACAAAGTCATTCTCACATACCTACATATAAGATGTTTAAGTACTGAATGAAATGTGGGTAGTGTCCACACGCGTAGTAAGAGATAAGAATAAGTTGCATTAAACAATGTAACACGTTGCATGTACCTAATTAAGTATTAAATCATTCAGTATCATCGAGGATAAAAAAGATTATCTTTCTAACCTGCTTTTGCCTTATATTGCTAAAGTATATAAACAAATTCATTAACATGCGATCAAAATGAATATCAAATTAAAATACCTAAGTTAATATGGATTCTATAATAAAAATAGTTTCATAGCAAAACTATAATAATTTTATACCTATTATGAGTAGCTACTATATATAGATTTATTCAAATTGGAAACTTTTTTAATCAAGTCGATTTATAAATTATCATGGGGGTATGTAGTGTGTGTATGCCCTCACAACATACCCCCATGATTGCTCAATATGTTCAGCAATTCAAAATAAGTATTCAACGAACACATAGTACTATTCTTTCGAAATTAAACAAAACCGCCATAGCATTTCACACAGTTTGCTATACATCGGTTGGTACATCTGAGATATTGTCATATTTGCAAATAATGACAATGACATCAAAGCATTTTAAACAAAAGGTGTACAAAATGCCGCGCGGCCCGGCTCAACTATATTTACGCTCATGTTTATAAGTCACGCTTGAATATTTATATTAGAATTAAATTTATGTACATACAGTTGTGTCATGTCTGTCTGATCTGGACGAAAAGCGTTTGCGTAAATATTGGCGACACAACCTCAAGGTTGTAACCACTTCAGACATAAAACTAATAGTGGGTATGTATGTAAAGTATTACTATTATTATTACACACGTTAACTTGACATAGTTACGCCTAAATAAATTTAAAATTATCTTATAATGTTTGAACTATTTCTATAAATATCTACCCGCAGTTGAGTAATTAATCGAAGCGACCGAAGACATTTGATTTAATAAAGCTTTATACTAACTATAGTATTTAGTAAAACTTGGAAAGAATTCTATTACATATCTAATTCCACGTCGAGAGAACCTAATGACACTTAATGTATTTTGTAACTTAACCACCCACTACGAATACTATCATTAAAATGTTATGTGTACACCGAACATCAAGCATGACATTTAATTTGAATTATTACTTAAATTGCCCAAAATTTAATGTCAAATACGTTTGTGTGTGATATAGTAACATTTTGATAACTCACATAATAAATTTACGAAGATTATTAGTAAGTTTCGGCAGCTTTCACTCCAATAGTAAGTCCACAGATAAGAAAGAGTAACTGTCACGTATGGAACTTTTTTCACACGAGATTAAAAAGTTAACGCGGTAGGCAACGGCGTGCGCGCTCACAGCCGTTCACGCGGTAACTAGACGCGTAAAGCTCTAAAGAGTTTGTATCCTTTTACTTGCCAGTGTCAGACAGCTGGTGCGGCGGCACTGGCCACTGGACAGAATGATCTGTTTAATAAACTTCCGATGATGTATTGTGTGCCGGTTTGGAATTTATGATTAGATACAGTTTTATTGGTATGACACGCGGAAACAGTTACGGATCAGTACACCACCGTGTGTTGCGTTCAATGGAAACAAAGTTAGGTGTACTAATATGGAGTTTCCATTATTGTTGGTGTAGTTCTTGTAAGCGTATTTTAATATTCTTATTTACATTTATGATGCATCAAACAAGTTGTCGGCCAAAAATCTATGCAAAATACTAAGAAATCGTTAAATGGTTCGTTGTAAAATTAAAACAAACGGTCACTAAATAATTCGTAATTATTTTAATATTCAGTGTTTTTCAAGCTAAGTACACACTAGGTTTTCACAAAGTGCCAAATGCAATTATTATTTATTTTCTTTTTTAAGTTAAATACATTATATTTAATTTCTATTGGCCAAGATATGGCAGTCAACAGCTGATGTTGCCGCATTTAAAATAGTCTACGGTATCGGCTCATCTCTTCAGTTGCTGAATCAGATTTGGCTCATAATGGTCGAATTACAGAACTTAAACCACAGATCCTTGCAACTGAGCAACGATTCATTCCTAGAATGCTACGCGAGGCTATTGAGATTAAAAACTATCCAAATTTCAATAGAGAAGATATTTGGTATATACCACCAGCTTGGGAACCCATTATACAGGAGATAAAATCCCAACCCCGAGCACACACTGCAAGACCAACAGATACTATTAGTTCTTTTTGTTTGCATAATTTAACATAAGAAGGAGATAGAAAGCCTCTCTTGAGTTTGTTTCGCCGGTTCTTCTCAGAAAGGTCTTCCAATTTTGGAACCGGTGGTAGTTTACGGTAGTTAGAGTCAAATAAATAAACTCAAAATTACAAATAAGAATTTTAAATAAAATACTTTATTAACTAAATTAAGTAATAAATTCATACATAGACAATAAAACTTTAAAAATCGAACAATGAAATAACCGAACGCTCAATAAAAGTCTTTCGAAGGTAGCTCGACAAGATTAAATAAAAAATCATTCCGAAGAAACAGCCTGTAAAGGCTGCAAAACGTCAATAAATAAATAAAGTTTCGTGCATTAACCCGATAAAAACTAGTTTTATTGAAAATTATAGTCATTTCATGGCAGCGTGACGTATAAAATGTAACCAAAACTTAAAATCTTCTCAATATTGCCTTGATTGACATAATTATTAAATTGAAGTGCGGTAATAACTTAATGTATTTTGATTTCAGATTTAACGTTATTTGTAGCGTTTCCTTTAAGTGGTCTGAACGAAATCTTTAATTCAATAAGATTAAAATAAACGCAGACACCTAAGACATAGTATCTATGTCTGCGGCCAGCATACTAAAATACTCTACGACTTTTTGGTCCTTTGACTTTAATAAAGTCCATTACGATTCAAATATCTATTATTATTGAATGAAAAATATACTTTTTAAATAAATTTTGACTAATAAGTAGGTACCCTTATAATTTATAAACTTTTTGTAGTAAATAGGTCATCATAGTAGGAATAGCTTGCACGAACCTGTCGTTGTATGTAAACCTGCATCCAATCCATGTCCTCCAGGCAATCGATATGATTTTGTAATTCGAGTTGAAAGCAAGAAAGGGTTTTGGATCTGAATGACTTCAGGGCTAAGCGTAGACTTCATCAGTTTCACCTTACACCTTTCGGATTTTACATTTTACATTCAATATGCCTCTTACCATTCGGTGATCGCTCTCCGTGTTAACGAATTGATCACTGAGACGTCATTGAATATCCGGGATTTAGTCGACATGATGAAGTCAATCTCATTTTTTGTTAAGCCATCCGGACTTTCCCACGTCCATTTTCGATGCAGCCGCTTCTTGAAGAAGGAGTTCTTCATATAGATCATTATTCTCTCACCATACCATGGTTAGCATTTGACTACGGTAGTTCCAGATTTCAGTTCCAAATTGCCGTACTTTCAACTTATCATCGTCACGTTTGCCTAGCCTTGCGTTGAAGTCTTCCATAACAATGGAAGCATGCATTGTCCGAGAGATATCCTAATAATTGCTTCCACTTCCTAGTTGGGGTATGTTAGTACTTGTCTTCGCCCTCCCGGAAATAAAGCAGGCTGCCGGACTCCTGTCCCGCCGGGCACTTGGGGCCTTGATTTATTAGTATTTATTAAGGGGGTGTTTGGGCCGTCTCCCACCATGTTGGCCCAGTGCGGATTGGTGGGGAGTGCCAGAGCCTCGTTAGTTAATTAGCAAGGTGCATCGCGTACAGGTGAGGTTGGCTTGGATCCCGTGAGTTGCTTTTTAGAACGCCTTATACACCCCATACTTAAACCAAATCAGCATGTAAGTAATATTTTATATACTTAAACCAAATCAACCTGTAAGTGATTCTATGAATTTTTTGAAACGTGACTACCTCGTTTCTTTGATCTGGCGGATGTAAATTACAGACTAGTAAATACAAGAAGTTTAAGAAGTTAATGGAATAAAAAATACCGTGTAACAGATTTATCTACGCCAATATGGTTCATTTGTCGCTATATAAGGTTTTGTTTTAAATTTGTTATGGTTGCCACATCTGTGCCTGTATAGTTACCGATACATTGAATAAAATGGTATAGAAATTAAAAAAATGTATGTTATTCACCTTTGAATATGGTACGGAACTCTTCGCATGAGAATCAGACTGCTACTGGATCGCGTTTCTGTTAACAATCACTTTTGAATGAATGATGAATGGAGTAATTTTAAGTAATAGTTTTATGCCAACTTGCTTAAAAGTTCTTAATTAAAATTAAGGCTTGAACGACTTTAACACTCGATTCCGTCTTTTCTTTATCAATTGTTTTTGAATAAAATAGAGATAGAATGAGCCTTAAGGCATAAACATGATTAGCTTTTAAATGAGCATTAAGAGCTATGGTGCAAGTGGACCTGAGTATGTTAGAGTGAGTCAGTAAAAACCACATACACTTTAGACATTTTTTAGACAATATAAATATTTGTTTGCGGACATCCCAAAATTTAGTAGCAGAACATAGGTTCAAATCTCAGATACGCAGCACGTAGGTCTAATAAAAAAACCACAAAGCTTTTGCATTCAAATGAAAAAGTCAAGGCCCTGTGAGATGTTTTGTCAGTTATGTACTTACTTCTTTACCTATTTGTATGAGATTCTACAAAATCGCACACCTGACTCATGCACGTGGAGAGCTGATATATTAATTTTTTTATGTAAATATTAGTATTTTTACCCGTCTGCGCAATGCAAGAGCGCGAAGCGCGACTCGCTAACAGGGTAGTCTATCTATACATACATTTAATGCGCTTTATACTGAAATGGATAAAATAAAAAATATTTTAAAACAAAAAATGAAAACCGAGTTCATAAACTCGACGTGATGATTGAAACACGTTATAGCGATTAGAAATGAAAATCTATTGAATGTTTAAATTTTGGCCCCCCGCTCGACTTCCAAATCATACTAGGACCCGATTTCGATTTCGTGTTAACCAAAAATATATATTTTTCTTTTTAGTTCCATTTTCGATTTAGAAGTTGGTTTTTCGTATCGATTTGAATAAAATGTACCTACCAGTATCTATCAGTCATTCATGTAAGCAGTATTGCAAAGACGCTGCTTACCTTCCCAACCAACAACAGTGACAGTTGAGTCACAAAAACAATAGAGATCCCAACCGAGTATTTGCGTAACATTATTACTCATAGTAAGCGGTAATAATTAACTAACTACATGTCAACACTGGTTATGAAACATTTCTAAGCATATAACTTTATGAAGGTTTAAGAATATTTTTTAAAACTTGTATAATTTGTACATCTAGAGAATTCATTTCTACTTATGTTTTAAGTTCGATTTAAAAATCAAGACCGAAAAGTTAACCTCTTTTTTTAAACAATTGCTGTATATTTTGGAAAGAAGTTGTTTTTTTTTAAATAAAACAGCATTAGCCGTCGTTCGTCTGTCTGATATCGGTCAATCTCTGCCATAGAGCAACACAGCCAACGTAGCTAGGAGGGGAGTAGCCATAATGACATATTAGTACTGAAATCATCAGGAAAGAGCGGCAGCTCTTTCCTTCCTCATTTCCGTCACTCAATTCCGACACGCTAAAACGCGAAGAAAAATATGAAATGCCTGAAAACTACTGTTTGTTACTATTTTATTTTGTTGCAACATACATAGTGAATGAATTGACTATCGCCGACTGAGTTGATCGTATGATCAAAGTACCGAGACTATTTTTTTTGTTATTTCACACAACTAGTCTGTTTTTCTTTTGGCTATTTACATCTGAACAATGATTTTGTATGTTGATTATTTTAATGTATGTCTTATTAAAACAGAAATTCATAATTTATTGAGCAATTCTTTAAAGTCCGTCATTAAGTATCTAATTTCCATCAGGTCCAAAAGTATATCACTTCATAAATCCAAAACTAAATACATAGTTAATTAAAGTGCCAAAGGCACAAACTTATGATGTGTAACGTGATTTCAAGTTTTATTTTCGGTGTGAGGAAATTTAATGAAAACTAAAAATTGTGACACAAGAACACCTTGTCACGGTAATATATATATTATTACCGTGACCTTGTTGTGAGAATGACCGATATGATTTATAATGAGACTCAATTCAAATAAAAATAATGTTAACATTGTGTTTTCCCAAAAGTTATCAAAGGAGAAAAACTTAGTTTAGCTTGTACGAACTGAATCAATTTAGAAACATTTGATTCACATTAAGGCTGACCTTAAACAGTCTGACTCAGAATCTGGATTCATAATATGAATTCATATTATTGATTCAGAGCGCATGGAATTGCATACAACTTAACTCCGTTCCTCCTTCTTCTTTTCGTAATTTGACGACCTCCGTGGTTCGAGTGCTATATACACCGGTTTTCAAGGTGTCACTTACTCAGATGTCCCGGGTTCG